ATATAGGTCCTAGGACAGTGATATGAATCACAGAAAATATGTACTTGAACGTTCAAATTTCAAAGATTTTCAATGCCTGTAAATCTACAGTTTGTATCATTTCCTTGAGTCCTACATGTGTTTGTGGAGCACCAAGTTTCTCCATCATCAGTTTCAGTACCATGAGATCAATATATTTGTCTCTGCCAATGTCATACCTCTATGAATATTAAATACAAATATTCGAAAGAAAGGAATACTTTCGTTTCTCAAAAAAATTTACAAGTGATCTCTCCAATCTGTATGTCATGTCATGTCATGGTGGTTTATTTGCATATTGTTAATGACCTGTGCCCTCATGCAAACTACTTGACTCTGAGCCAAACTGTTTATATTCAGCTTACTTTTTTGTGGTGTTTCTAATGACTCTAATAAAGGTGCTGTTGTCTTTCTCACTTTTCACAGTATTTGGAATTAGCTAAGGCGATGGCGAATCAACTAGACCTCGGTGAAATCAGTGGTTTGCAATCCGTTACACACCTTCCACGTGACGAGCGCGAGCGGCTATCCAGTGAGCGTCAGAGAATGATTGAATTGATGGTCAGTAGATTACGTGTGTTGCATCAAAGATTGGAAAGAAAAGACGAGCTGCTACAAGACTATGAGAAAGATTTAGCAAGACTACGACAAGCAGAACACATTGCCAATGAGAAAGCTGTACAAGTGGAGAGTCTCGCTGTACGTATAAAAACTCATACATCATTATATTTTTCTCACCGTTCTTGTTTTACATAATTTGTAATTTTAAATTTCAAAGAGTGTAAAATTTACAGGTACATTAATTTTTTCCGGATTTCAGAGAGCAGCTCAATAAATATTTATTCAGATGACATATAAAACTCTTGCTTATTTCAGAGTGAGGTTAGAAGCCGTTCAGAAGAAAATCAGTACTTGCGTGAAACGCTGCGAAGAACGCGAGATGTATTGGAACAGGAGAAGAGACTAAATGGTGCAATCAAAAACAAAAAGGTAATTAGTGAAATTAAATGATCACATTGTTTACATGCACACATTGTTTTAAAATTAAGTTTATTTTCTCCTTCAACTCAACACAATATATTTATTATCTGAGGGAATTTCATAATGAATTGAACTTTAATTAAATTAGTCTCTGTCTGGTACTCTACAATGAATAGCTTGAAGCTTATTATATTTTTTGTGACTCTACATTGTGTGTATACAAAGTAAACTAACATATAATACTTGTGTTCTGATGTATTTCTTATAGACATACCATATGGAAAAAGATGAGAAAAATTTGCGTACATGGCCTCGACATAGGTGTTATGAAGATGATCTGGTGCCAACAAAAGAAAAAAAGAAAAAAGAACAAAAAGACAAAATACTAAGAAAAAGTTATGAAATTGAGACATTAAAAACAGTAAGTAATACATACCACATTGTGGCACTTGACAACCCACTGCACATCATGTGTTTATCCAAACTTACACATTGCTATTCACTGATTCATTGTAGGAACTGAATTCAAAAGACCAGCAGTTATGTGATACCACAGCAAAATTAATCAATTTGGAAAACAGTTTATCTCAGGTGAGAATAAAAAGTTGTTTGTACTTTTTTGATTGAGAGATGCAGTAGTATATGATATCTTGTATTTGTACATGAAAATATTTGTGCAAAATTGTGTATGTAGATTAACAGTTATTTGTGTTTTGTTATAGCCTACAAGATCAGACTACCGCACTGCAGCAGAAACTATAGAAACTTATCACACTCAGTTGGAATGAGATATTGATCACAGTTAGCTTTGATGGAAGCGCTTGTATCTGCTAATCAAATTAGAAATATTTGCTAGAAACCACCATGATGTAATAATTAAATGAAATCAATTAGGACTGTAATTAAACAAATTAGCAATTATTTAATTTGAAGACTGATTATGAAGAGTCCTATTATGTACAACTCAGTAATATTTAAACAAGTTTGTGTGACGTCATTCTTAAATAGACAATGCAGCTATTTTAGCTAACTGGCTTGTCACTTTTATAAGGTGCTTCTTTTTAGCAAAAATTAGTTTCGATGGTGGGATTTTTAAATGTAAGTGTTTTAATACTGAAGGAGGCAGCTATGTCATGTTGCATATATCATGCAGTTCTAGAATTTGAAAGGTGTCATGCAAAGTTCTAGAAAATGAACAATCAGTCTAACAAACTATTGTTGCAAAGTGGTCTATTAGAATCACTATTAAATTGTGAAGAAATGAATTGTTTAAATGATCAGTGTAAAAAAATTACTGTTACAAAGTGGTTTAACCTCCAGCAATTGAAAAACGACCTGGAAATTTATTTCATTTCACTTATATGAACCCTGATGTAAATACAACCAAGGATGAAATAGCGTGATTATTAATTATACATTCAAAATGTAGGAATACTTGATGTGTCAACTGTCCTTGACATCTTGTTCAGTAATTTGTATGAAGCATGTGAATTAGATTGTGCTGCCACAGAAATGAGACGTCTGAGTAAATAATGAAACACAAACATGATATTATTACTACATCACACAGTGTTCATGCAATGGTCACACTATTCTGTACATGGTTGTACATGCAATGGACACACTATTCTGTACATGGTTGTACATGCAATGGACACACTATTCTGTACATGGTTGTACATGCAATGGTCACACTATTCTGTACATGGTTGTACATGCAATGGACACACTATTCTGTACATGTTTGTACATGCAATGGACACACTATTCTGTACATGGTTGTACATGCAATGGACACACTATTCTGTACATGGTTGTACATGCAATGGACACACTATTCTGTACATGGTTGTATATGCAATGGTCACACTATTCTGTACATGGTTGTACATGCAATGGTCACACTATTCTGTACATGGTTGTACATGCAATGGACACACTATTCTGTACATGGTTGTACATGCAATGGACACACTATTCTGTACATGGTTGTACATGCAATGGTCACACTATTCTGTACATGGTTGTACATGCAATGGACACACTATTCTGTACATGTTTGTACATGCAATGGACACACTATTCTGTACATGGTTGTACATGCAATGGACACACTATTCTGTACATGGTTGTACATGCAATGGACACACTATTCTGTACATGGTTGTATATGCAATGGTCACACTATTCTGTACATGGTTGTACATGCAATGGTCACACTATTCTGTACATGGTTGTACATGCAATGGTCACACTATTCTGTACATGGTTGTACATGCAATGGACACACTATTCTGTACATGGTTGTATATGCAATGGACACACTATTCTGTACATGGTTGTACATGCAATGGACACACTATTCTGTACATGGTTGTATATGCAATGGACACACTATTCTGTACATGGTTGTATATCCATTGACCATTGTCCATCAGTTTACAAACTATCATCAAATGTTACTTGAAAACCATAACATGTTTGCCAAATAAGTTTAAAAATTAGTTTCTGTACATTCTGTGAAACTTGAAAACCATCTTACCTCCTGATTTGGCATGTTTCACTTATAGATAGGGGTGGCAGATGCAATAATATTAACTATCATGTTGAACATGTCTTTAAAATAGTGAATACAAATTTTAAGATGAAAATATTTTTTTTTTGATAAACACATAGTTTGAAGAATTGCATGAACAATTATTAATATGCAAAATTGCTATTTAATTTTTCTTTTCATTAAAATGAAGCGCTGCATACAAGCGTATTATAACTAGTATATAATTGGAATAGGTATTGTAATATATATTGTGAAGATTGTAAATAGAATTAAAAATTATTGTAATTTTGATAAAAATATCACTAGATTATATCATAGTTTGAAATTAAAGCCTGTCAGATATAAGAATGCTGTCCCAGTGGGCAGGTGAATACAGATTCTAAGTATTTACTACTGGGATAAATTGCTAATGTCAGAAAATTGCTTTTAGAATTTTTAAGAACTATAAAATTTATAGTAAATGATAATTTTACTTTATGATTTATTGTGCTTGTGACAGGAACACTTTTTATCCTTCAACCAGTTCAGTATATAGATAACTTTAATTTGTTTGTTTTATTTCCACTAGTCAGAGGTTTATCTTTCTGTGCAGAGTTTTAATTCTCATTTCACTTTTAAAATGTAATTTTATTTTACATATTTCTCAATACTGATCATATCCACCAATAACAAGCAATAATAATTTTGATACAGTTTAGTTGTTTTGTGAGTACAACAGTTTTAAACAGTTGTTTTAAACTGATACTGAAGCTGTACAGTCGGTTTTAAATTTATATGTGGTACAATGCCTGAATTGAAGGGATTTTTAAATTGAATATGATTGAATATACAGATTTAAAAAATAATGATACAAATTTTGGATATGTAGATTTTCATCACATGATGAGATTATATGATGTAGATATTGTAATCAATTGTAATACATACATGTACTTTTTTATTTTCAGTTTGAAATCATTTCATTTACAAATAAATGCTTAACTGCTTTCAAAGAATATTTGTTTTATAATGTGATTTATTTTTTTGTGGAAGAATGAGTTTTATTGTCGATTTATCCATACTGGTTAGCTGATTTTGACTGAGGTAACATTTGACCAGTGTGTGCACTTTTGTTTTTCTATTGACTCATTTCATTGCTTTTATTACTTTGCCCATACCATCGAGAATGGAAGGAAAAGGTATATTAAGGGAAAGATTTTTGTCCAGCGTCATTGTTGTTGTCGTCGTTAATAATTAGTCTTTGCAGACGAAGTCTGACGAAGGCTTCTAGATTGGCTTTCGTCGTAGTTTACAAGTTACATGAGATTAATACTATGGTAGTTTACAAGTTACATGAGATTAATACTATGGTAGTTTACAAGATACATGAGATTAATACTATGGTAGTTTACAAGTTGAGTAAGATATGCAATCTCCATACGAATACAACATTGTTGTTTACAAGATACAAAAAGCATACAGCCTGAACGATAGGTCACATGCCGTTATGGATATTAAAAACTGCTCATGTTTTATTATGGCTATTAAAAACTGCTAATGTTGTATTATACCGGTAGTTATTAAAAACTGCTAATGTTGTATTATGGCTATTAAAAACTGCTAATGTTTTATTATGGCTATTAAAAACTGCTAATGTTGTATTATACCGGTAGTTATTAAAAACTGCTAATGTTTTATTATGGCTATTAAAAACTGCTAATGTTTTATTATGACTATTAAAAACTGCTAATGTTGTATTATACCGGTAGTTATTAAAAACTGCTAATGTTTTATTATGGCTATTAACAACTGCTAATGTTTTATTATGGCTATTAAAAACTGCTAATGTTTTATTATGGCTATTAAAAACTGCTAATGTTTCATTATGGCTATTAACAACTGCTAATGTTTCATTATGGATATTAAAAACTGCTAATGTTTTATTATGGTTATTAAAAACTGCTAATGTTGTATTATGGCTATTAAAAACTGCTAATTTTTTATTATGGCTATTAAAAACTGCTAATGTTGTATTATGGCTATTAAAAACTGCTAATGTTTTATTATGGCTATTAAAAACTGCTAATGTTGTATTATACCGGAAGTTATTAAAAACTGCTAATGTATTATGGCTATTAAAAACTGCTAATGTTGTATTATGGCTATTAAAAACTGCTAATGTTTCATTATGGCTATTAACAACTGCTAATGTTTTATTATGGATATTAAAAACTGCTAATGTTTTATTATGGCTATTAAAAACTGCTAATGTTTCATTATGGCTATCAACAACTGCTAATGTTTTATTATGGACATTAAAAACTGCTAATGTTTTATTATGGCTATTAACAACTGCTAATGTTTTATTATGGCTATTAAAAACTGCTAATGTTTCATTATGGCTATTAACAACTGCTAATGTTTTATTATGGATATTAAAAACTGCTAATGTTTTATTATGGCTATTAAAAACTGCTAATGTTTCATTATGGCTATTAACAACTGCTAATGTTTTATTATGGATATTAAAAACTGCTAATGTTTTATTATGGCTATTAAAAACTGCTATGTTGTATCATGGTTATAAAACTGCTATGTGTATTATGGATATTAAAAACTGCTATGTTTATTATGGCTATTAAA